AAGAAAAGAGGAGATTTTTTTTTTATACCTATTGGGGATGTTACAGGAAAGTTGAAGGTTTATCAGCTGTGCAACACCTGTGAGTTACATCATGCAGACAAATCGATCTGCACTGGTTCCACAGTTAACATGCATCACTCTCACAATCACCTGACAGACACATCGTCCTTTGGCGGTCTATTTGTGCTGCGCTCATGCTTTCAGCCCCATCACCTCCCGAGCATCCACCTGTAGGCTTCGACTGGGGGTTTAAAACATTTTCTTTTCTTCACTCTTCAAATTTCTGCAAGTAAAATAAATCTGCCTCCTGCTAAACACAAATGTTCTGCTGCTGCGATTAAATTCAAACCACTCAAATATAATCATGTACCATCCTCTGGGAGACAAAGATGCCTGTGCTTTCACAGTTTCATTTCTTATCGGGGTACATTTTTGCAGTTTACCAAAGTTTACATCAGGACCTGACCTCCATTATTAACCTCCTGTGCCTCACCTTTAATGGGCCGTAACCTTTCTGTGTGCTCCCTCCAACAATCCAGCACAGCAGTCACATTACTTCTGCTTGCTGAGCTTCCACAGGCAGACTATAAACAACGTCTCTACAACTCTGCTTTACATGAATTTCAACGAGATGGGGTGCCATTCCAAAAAGTACAGAATTAAAACCCAAACCATTTCTCCACAATGTTGACACGCTGAGCTACCAATTAGTGGGCATCACTTACATTGAGACCTTTTCGATTCCTGACTGAGCTGAGGGAGTAGAGGGAAATGTATTTTCCAAAGGGAGGCAGAGCCAAGTTTCATTGGCAAGATTGAGCTGCTGGCCTTCACACTGTTGCAGCCCCTGTTGCCGGTTTGCTCGTTGCCAATCCTTAAAGGCAGACTGAGAGCTGAGGACGGCACACACACATCAACTTTACAGAAGTGCCTGAATTGTCACAATGGAAGCCAGAAAACAGCTGCCCAGAGTGAGAATATTGAGAATATTAAGAATTCTAGTTCCAGCTCTCAGTTGCATGAGAGCATGTGAGTGAGCTTTGGAGCGTGAGTGTGCATAGAAAGGGGGGGAGGGGTGTTTGTCGTCATCTCTCATCCCTCTATTCCATTAAAAACTCAATTTGAAGTGGGCTGAACGAGGTTTTTAGTTGATTAAAAGGCATCAATTTGGAAGACAGGTTCTAGACTTTAGTCAACATTGAGTAATAGTTTTTTTGTTTTTTCTCTATATTTCAACATGTGACTGATCCACTCCACAGGTCTTACTGTCTGTGTGGCATGTTTTTTGATGAGCTGGAGGAGCCAGTCAAAATGCTCCTCCATCAGCCAAAAAAAACCCCCCATCAGTAAGAGACACTCAGGAAGGTGCTACGGTGATTAAATGGCTCGTGCTTTATTCTCTCCAGCAGCACAGCAAACACCATCCTGTGTGCAGACAGAACGTCTTATCCTCCACTTCAAGAGTAGCCAGAGGAGAATAGCTTTCAGCCCCCCCGAGCTCGCTCGCGGTCATATCGGTTTGCCTTGAAGCTATTTCTGTGTGAAAAATAGCCAAACTTGTGCTTTATTCTCTCGGCTCCTTGGTTGAGACGTACGACAGGGAGGTGCAAAGAAAATGGCCACAGAAGCCAAACTGAGACAGAACAGACAACCCCTAAAAATAAATACAGTTATGGAGTTTGACACAAACATCAGCTCTGCGGTGACTCTAAAAGGTCTGACGCTCCTCAGCTACAGAAACACTCCTTTTCTCACAGAGAGCAGGTGGAAGATAAGAGTTTAAGAGCGTATTTACTGATGGCAGAGGCTGTCCATCCACTGTTTGCTTTAGGAAAAAAAAGAAGGATTTCAAAGGATTCAACCAGACACATCATGCAAACCAGTCGGAGAGGAGTGTTCCTTATTCAGCTGAAGGATGAAAATACCAGTGGGTTATCAATCTGCACTGAAAATACCATAATTTCTGATGTCTGCAGAACCGCTTTTTAAAGACTACGACTTGGATCAAACAAAGACATCACATTCAACCAAGAAGCTGGGCGAGGTCCTGTCTGAATTCAAATTTCTTCTTTTGTTATTTAAACATGAAACGTCACTTAATTCAAATATCTCACACCTAGAAAACAAACACTGGACTTTTGGAGTTCCACGTCCAGATAAATATCAACGTTGATTTCCTTTCACTTTCACTTGTTAAATCACTCACACCATCACTGTGAATATACATATATATATATATATATATATATATATATATATATAATTTAATTTAAATGATCAATAAACACACACTTATTTTTGTAAATACTGTAATTGACATCTTAATTGACCCATCTGTCACATAACTGCATTTTACTTATCATGTTACTTCAGCATCTTTTTCACTGTTTCATATTTAGTCATGTAAATATTAGTCTTTTCTTATCATGTTTATTGTTGATATTTAATGTTGTACCTGTACATAAGAGAGGACATATCACAGAAGTTAAATTCCTTGTGTGTGTAAGCATACCTGGACAATAAATCTGATTCTGATTCTGATGTAACTTCATTTATTAATATCACACACGTGCACACATTTTTGTTAAACTAACTTGCTTATTGAAACAAATAGGAGCGCTTGTGTATTTGTCTAATATAGAAAACATTCATCTGATAAGTCAAGATAAAGATCTTATTTTGAGATGTGCAAAGGAAAAATTAAGCCTGAATTTGCTTGTAATAAAGGGAAAAAACATTGAAGAAGATCGCAGCGGGCCAATTTTACTTGTGTGTCTACCGATTTAAATAAAATAATCTAATTCCAACAAACTCGACGTGTGTGTATATTCTGATCGCTGAATTGACCTCATTTTTTCCCTTTGTCTTGACTTATCAGGTGAATGTGGCTTAAATTATTACAGAGCTACATACTTCAAAAAAGTACAGGAAGTTACCATCTTCGCTCGCAGGATTTACACCTTCTAACCATCCCTAAAGCCCGTACTGAATTAGGAAAAAGGGCGTTCCAAGTATGCTGCTCCCTCTTCTTGTAATCGGTGGCAAGATACTTTAAATCTTCGGGACCTGGTTTCCATGAATGTTTTTAAAAAGGTCGCCTTAATGATCTGGAGGCAGAAATATCTGACTGTAGATCTTTTTGTGATTCCTGTATTTATGTTCATTGTTGTTAAGTGTTTTATGTCTGAAACCCTGTGATTGTGCTGCTGCCTGTCTTGGCCAGGACGCTCTTGTAAAAGAGATTTTTAATCTGAGACTTTTTCCTGGTTAAATAAAGGTTAAAAAACCCCCAGAAATTAGAGTTTACACACCTGTCATGTTTTTATAAACACACATAGTACAACAAACACTGTGTAGGATATCTGCCGTCATGTTTCCTCTGTAATAACTGTGCTGTATGACCTACGATAACAATTACACACATTAAGAAATCACATCTCTCTGACATGCAGCTCCACTAAATAAAGAGCAGAGCCCGTGGTGAACGCTCTGTTTGATACACAAACAGCATATTGTGTATTTTAAGATGCTATTTCACACTCCCACACGGACAACAAAGCATACGAGAGGAGCAACAGGATTCTGTCAGGAGAAACACAAGTCAGTGCTCCACACTCTAAAAATGGACGATCCAGAATTACACCGTGTTCATTCTTTATAAAAAAAACATAAACTGTGTGGGCTATTTGAAAAAGGATATTCAATCACAGTTCAATGATACTCCACTCTCCTCTCATGCTCTCATCACACATAATCCACTCCATCGGCTCAGAAACACGGCGCTGCGATCTATCCTGTGGTTTAACAGTAATCCTTATAGATACCTTCGGTGATGCTTCCTGCTGTTCTGCATGCAGATTGTTACTTTACAGTACATCCTTAGCGTGCTGTGTTTCCATGTAAAGCGAGATCAGACAACGCTTTTATCTGTTTTATGAGCAGAACTAACAGAGGACGTGTTTTAAATCCATTGTTTACAAATTATTTTGGAATGAAATCTTGTTGGAATCACATAAAAAGTGACTTCAGACCTTCTAAATATTGGTGCCATGTATTCACAAGCAGACAGAGCGAGTCAGCGGTGGAGCGAGCACATTTCAAGCACCATGCGCCGTGATTGGATTCTTTTTTAATATTAATATTAATCAAGACGGCAAACACTATCACGCAGCAATAATCCCTGATCTAATATTTAATATGTTTTATAACTGTGAGGCACACGGCAAGAAATCAGAGCCAACTCACACACACACACAGAAATACAAACACATGCACACACCTCACAGGACTATGGGAAAGATTTCTATCTTTTTTTTGTCGTTTTTTGATAACACCGGTAATGCGCTAATGTAAACTTCAATATTGATTGATGGTTATAGGAATATGCGATTTTTTGATCCAGCAGATGTCGCCCTTGAGCACCAGCATGAAACCAAAACAACTCCGCTGCATTCTTGTGTTAGCATGCTAATGCTAGCGATCTTTATTATGCTGGTATCTTCACACTGCATGTAAATTTACCTGAAATGAGCGTGATCTAGAAACACAGTTAAGCAGTGAGTACAGTATGTTATTCTTCTTTTCTCTAGTCCCTCAATTAAACAACTTTTATACACGAGGGGAGGAGTCAGCCGGCCGTCCTGGCGATGTAAACAAAGTGAAGATAGGACTCTGAAAACTCTGAAAACATCACAGACAGTGGGACTCGGGTGTTACACCCATTGTAGGCAGTCATGACTCACAGAGTTACTTTCAGAGGAGATACTTGATTTCTACATTTAAGTGTGAAAAATCACATTTAAAGACTTTAACAAGTTTACATTTTTGATTCATTTTGCCCACATCTGTTTTTAACCATTCATGCAACCACTCTGTAAAAATGTGCCCCCAAAAATTAGATGTTCTGAGCCACATTAAAAGCCTAGTATGTGCCCACGTGTATGTGTGTGTGTGTGTGTGTGTGTGTGTGTGTGTGTGTGTGTGTGTGTGTTTGGACTCACAGGTAACTGTTTCTCCAGGCAGTTGTTGAAGTTTTTGATTTGGTTGGGCTTCAGCTTCTTGAGGGGGATTCGAGTTTCCCCGATGAACTCGTTGTGTCTGAATTTGTCCTCGTCACACACTGAAATCCTGTCAGAGAGAAGAGCAGAGCGGGTGAATGAAGTGAGGCTCAGGGTTCAAGATCTGTTGCACAGAAGAGGCTTTAAAACCTTCAAAAAACAGTCATTTTCCACCTGGAGCCCATCATCCTCCATCACAGGGACTCAAATCTCTCCCAAATCTTCTCTTTAGGACCAAACTGCCCCCTCTGACTCACTGCACTGAAACTCTGCAAGAAGAGAGATGATCAGCTCCATCAGTGTGACAGAGGATGATGTGATAATGATGCTTCAGGAAGCGTTCGGCCATGTTTGAATCAAAAGAGTCTGAATGAGAGGAGAACTCCTGATGAGAAGAAATGTCTGATGATTGATGACGGACATTAGTTCTGCATTTGTACCATTTTACAGAGCAACAAGTTATCTCTGTTTCATTTCTGAAAACGAACGAAAACAGGGCGCCGGAGAGCATAGCGGTTGTGCGGTGCGCCCCATGTACAGAAGCTACAGTCCTCGTCGCAGAGGTCATGGGTTCGAATCTGGCTTCAGCACTATGCTGCATGTCATCCTCCACTATCTCCTCCCAACGTTTCCTGTCTCTCTTCAGCTCCAATTTGGGGCGCTAGTGGCCTAGTGGTTAGTGCACACTACGGAGGCTGTAGTGCTCCAAGAGGGTTCAAATCCGACCTGTGGCTCCCTTCCTGCATTTCATTCCCCCTCTCTCGCTCTCTCTCTGATTTCTGACTATATCCACTTTCCTATCTCTCTAAATAAAGGTGTAGAAAGCCCGATAATAAACTTTAAAAAAGCAAGAAGTATTTTGAGATAGAAGAGCTCAAAATTTAAGCTTTTGAATTAGGGAGAATTATTATTATTATTTTTTAGGAGCTCTGGTTTTAAGATCTTTTCACTCAAATTAGGAAAAAAGCAAACAGTGCATTAACTGACAAGCTATCATTTCATTAAATTAAATCCACCATCTTTACTTCTAATCAACCAGAATGAAAAATGATTTAATAAAGCTGAGTTCCAGAAAGTGAAAAGTTTTAAACATAGAAAATCACTCTGCAGGTCAAACCTGCGGTTTTTTAAATTTTACAATAAACAAAATATGTGAGGCGGTTTCCATAGTAACATAATACTAATAGGTGAGTGTTAAGAACTGTAAAGGAGGATGCTGAAAGTGGAGCACCAATGTTAAGCCAGTGTGGAAGCAAAACTGTATGAATGTCTTACAGCGTGATGACAGCTGAGCTTCTTTAATTAATGCTGAAAGTGAGTTTAATAGAAGTGTATTCATGTATTAGTGTCTACTCTGCGTCTCCTGGAATAAAGTCATCATCTGTTGCATTGTTCTCACGTCAGCACCATAACAACCTCGAGTCCCGACTTCAACATGAACACATCAAGCCACTCTCGTCTTATTCACTCAATTAGTTCAGCTGGGATTGAATTGTGTCATCATGCACGCTGCATTCAGCTTGTTTACGCATTTCTATTATTTCTCTATTTTTCTGTTTGCGCTGAACAAATAAACACAACAAACATCCTGCTTTGGATGCATGAAAAACATCCTGTGATGGCGTGCTTTCCGGTGTCTTCTCCAATCAATAAAAAAAAAAAAAAAAAAAGGAGACTCATTATTCCACAAATTGATGATTGTTGGTGAACCAAGCAGGAGACCTCGGATAATAAAAGTCACACACACACACACTGCTCTCTGCAGACAGGAGATCTATACTCCTCTCCCATTTCATTAAATTCATAATAAATGTCAATTATCGGCGTTGGGCGAGGCTTCTTCTTCTCTCTGTGGATCTACGTCTTCAATAAATGCAGAGAGCCGTCTGTATGTAAGCATGCATGCAGTGTTTCAGGAATCAGACTCGTGGAGGATTACGGCTCGTTTCAAGTGTTTTTCTCGGCATAATGGGCCGACGTGTGGAGGGAAACATGCACCCGGCGGCATGAGTAATATGTGTTAGTGTTGTATATTGTTGAGGAACAAATGAGGTTCAGAGGATTTAAAAAAAAGGAATAACTTATCTGCTATACGTGCAACAGGTGGAGCTGAATCTAAATTTGAATTTATAGAAAAAATAAGGTGTTGCCTTCCCTGGAAATGTGGAGGCTTTTTTTTTTTATAAGTATTGTTCCTTTTCATTTCAGCTGATATTTTGGCTCGTTTACAGAAAAGTGTCCATCAGATCATTCTGAATCTTTTCTGATTTGACTTTTGACATTCTTTGATAAATGGCCTTGAGCTTGTTTATTTCTTTTCTAGTCTTCTGACTACTCAAAGCTCTTTTACACCGCAGGTCACATCTACACATTCACACACTGATGGTAGAGGCTGCTGAGTAAAGAATCCATCAGAAGTAACTAATCCATTCATACACATTCATACGCTGAAGACGAAGCAGAGGGAGCAACTTGGGGTTAAGCGTCTTGCCCAAGGACACATCAGACACGTAGCTGCAGGAGCTGGGGATCGAACCCCCGACCTTCAGGATGAGGGACGACCAACTCTTGGCTCAGATTGCTTAATTACTGTCATGATATTTCTATTTTTGTAGCTTTTAGCGATGTTTGAATTTTTTTTTTTTTAGGGAGCCTTTTATAAAATCTGGCCAGGGACAACAGATGAAAATGAGCCTTTTGGCTAACTCTGGCATATTAACCTAAATGTTTATTAATATGCAATGTCCCTGTAAAATAAAAAATAAAAATGTTTCTGGGACTCAATTCAGTTATAAAACCATTTTCCTCTAATGCAAAACAAAAATGATATATTCACAGACCACTGATAAAGTTGTCTAACCATGACTGCCACAAGATGCTGCATACATATTAGTAATCTAAGGTTTCAAGAATGAATAATTACATTTTTTAAGTAATTAAAAAATAAAGTGATCAAGCTTTAAGTGTTTTCTGATTACGCCGCACACTGTGTGGGATTCTAAGCTGTCAGATATTTTCATTCTCCATCATCCTGAACAACTGTACAGCTCCTCCTGAGCAGCTTTTGAACATTTTATTTTAATATTTTACATTCACCAAAACACTCAAACTGGGGATACACTGTACGATTTCACCTCAATTTAGACCGAATGTACGACACATTTATTAAGTTTAGGTTGAATTTCAGCCTGATGGAGGTCCGGTTGGTCATGCACCAGAGAGCTCAAGTTTGCCACAGAAAAGTCCACACTTGAGGATGATTATGTAAATTCTGAGATCAAATAAACATGATACTAATGTCAGATATCAATAGAAACATCAGATCTGCTCAGGCGACTGATGGCTGGTGGTCAGAACACACCGTCTGCACCGTCTACACTCAGTTTCTTCATCATGTACAAACGTAACAGTCCTGGTGTTTGGATACAACAATTAACCGAATGCATCCATAGAAATCGAAGTTACAGCGGCTGTTGAGAGCAAAATAAGCCCTTGAGAATGCCTCTGTTTAATTTTTCTTTATAATAACACTCATCTGATATGTGTTATATGATAAAGAAATATTAAAGCAGCCAGCTGAAGGTCATCGATGTTTTTGAACAGCAACACCTTTCTCGTTTCATCGTCGACTTCTAATATGAAAACTTTTCTGTCTCAGCTATTCAGACAGACATGTTTGTTTCTGTGAAGTTTAAATGACACATCGTACAGATTTAGACAAATGTGGATTTTGATTTATCTGTTCGTCTACAAAACTTTAAGCTATTTTGTCCCCGCTGCTGTTGACTCGATCACATCCCCTCTGCCTCTACACTGCCCCTACAGGTCATGTGTGTACTGCAGCCTGTGTCCGCGCTGCGATCAGTAAACCTGACTCAGTGGACGTGGAGCATGTGTGCTGCTCGGGTGAGTGATGATATGGTGGACTGCACACCGCCCACCGCTCACTTGGACATAAAGTATGGTGTGCTGTAGCCTCAAAGAGATTTCACATATGATTACACAACCTCCTTCAGCTCACAGCTAACACTTTGGTAAAAATAACAGAGCTAAGAAGAGTGAAGTAACACTTCTCTTGTATAACACGCTCATGTTATCATAGTCTATCCTCGGGTGTCGTAGTAAGAAGATAAACAGCGCTGAACGTTTTTCTGACCCAAACAAAAGTTCTGTTTGGAGGTTTCACCAATAAAGGATTCCATCGGCTGTTTACCTGATCCGAGGCTTTCACAGGTTCAGGTTTCATTAAAAACACATTTCAGGCAAAAAGGACGCATGCAGGATAAAGAAGGAAAAGAGTCATCGCAGGCTAAAGTGTTTGTTATCAAAAAAGATGCTGTAACAAAGAAGGCAAAGAGAAGAGGAAGTGACAAACATCAACGCTCCCCGAAAAATCATTTTAATAAAAACGTTCAAAACACAAAGAGGCTGCCCTGTCCAAAACACAGCAGAACAAGGAGACACATTTCCCTTCCTCTCATTTCCTTTCCTCTCCTCTCCTCTCCTCTCCTCTCCTTTCCTCTCCTCTCCTCCATTATTCTTCCATTTTCCACTTTAATCTCATTCTCCCTTTCTATCCTCTTTTCTTCTCCTTGACTTTTTCACATTTTCTTCCGTCCTTCACTTCATTTGCTTTTATTTCCTTATTAAATTGTCTGCTTCCCTTCCCCGTCATTATTTTATATTTTCCAATTTGCCCTCCCTAAATAGTTTTCCTTTATTTCTTTCATGTTTTCCTTGAAAGTATTTTTCTTCCCCTTCCTTCCTTTTCTTCTCGTCTCCCTCCTTTTCTTCCCTCTTTCTCTTCATGCTGGTCACACACACTCCGCAGGTCGTGCGAGTCGAGGTTACCTGAGTGTTTTGCGGACCATATCCTCGTCGGTGATGCCGTAGTAGGTCAGGGTCTCGCTCCAGACGGGGTTGAGTGTGTTGTGCAGAGTCTTGGTTCTAAGTTTATTGGCCTGAAAGACAGAGAGAGAGAGAGAGAGAGAGAGAGAGAATCTGATCATTGAACAGGACTGAGCAGCATCATCGACCGAGTACCTGCTCTACCTCCTGTACAGCTCAGGAGACTTCATCCCTCAGGTGTCAATGAGTTATTGAAGGGCTGCCAGAATTTTTTTTAAACATCCCTGAAAAAGTACAAAACCTCTGAGCCCTGGTGAAAATCTGTCAATGCACTGACGTCCAGCCAGCTCGCAGAAAACCACGAGCTGCTTATCGAACACTGCTGGGAATGAAAAATAAACAGCAGAATGAATTTACATGAAGTGACGGGCTTTGGATATTCCTGTGCGTGTAAGAGAGTGAGTGAGTGGTGATGAATAAAGTGAAGCTAAAAGGTGGCTACAATGAGTCAGTTCGGCCTCAGGCTGCCATATTTGTGTGAAAACAATTCAAGGACAACATTACACAGACATATGAGGCAATCGACATCTGAGGACATCGTTCAATGATGCATGAATATGAGATAAAAGGCAACACAAGGGAGTCCAACATCAAATAGAAAGCTGTTAGTAACAGAGAACTGATAAAACACCATAAATACAAAATGATTTTTGATCACACATTAATATTTAAAGGAGCAGTATGTAACTCTGACACCTAGTGTTTAAAATGGGTACTGCAGTCCAAATTCAAAACCTTAGAAAGAGCTGTTTCCTCCCGCCCCCTCCTCTCTAGAGTCGATGCTCACGCAGGTTGGGGGGTGCGGGGCGGGGGATCGCCTTAAAAGCGCCTACCTTCTCTGGTCCAAACAAATCCAGAGCATTCAGGAGCAGAATCTAAAGATAGAAGGAGGACATACTGGCTGCTGTGTTGTTTTCAGAGAAGCCGGCACACAGGCGGTTATTTGAATAATTCTTTATGTCTATCTTTAGTTGGTTTCAACGCTTATGTCAACTAGCCTGTCAGCTTAGCCTCCAGAGCAGCAGCACAGGCCGGTATTTAAAGACGGTGTCATGGGTTATTTGACTCATAAGTGAAATAAAACTCTCCATTAGCGCATGTGGTTTCAGGGATTTGTCTGGTCTCTCAGTGAGCAGACCTCACAGAGGCCCTTTGCATATTCCTGCCAGTAAAACAAGATGTCGTCACCTTCCAGGCCGCTCTGCTATTCTCTCAGCTCGCTCTCCAAATAATCATTAGGCTCGGTCTAAGAGCCTCATTAAGAGCCACTAAAGAGGTCATAAGTTCTGCTTGCACTCTAATCAGAAGTGAAGTTTCACGCTCGGCTGAGGAGACAGATCACAGTTTCTTTTCCCCCAGAGACCACAATCAAACAACAACGAAAATGCCTCTAATTTTCCCCACATTGCACAGTCAACGCCGGCGAAGATTTGTGACAGTAATAGTTCCACTGTTTGTCTGAATGCTGATAAATAGAATACAGGCAACACTTAAGAGCCTGATTGGCTGAGAATGGATTGCTAGTCGCTTAAAGCTCCAAAATTGTGCATCATTTGCTCCCGCTATCCGCTCCGTCTTTAAGGTCAAATTCACAAAGCATGATGATGATATGCAGGTGCAAACCAGCCATTAAAGTTTCCCTTCTCCCTGTGGTTAGCTCTTGTTTTGGCGTTTGAATGGTGAAAGAAAAAAAAACCTGCAACACTTAAGTGGCAGCATGACGTAGTTCAGGTCACTTACTGACATCCCTCAGCCTGCAAGGCGATTAATTGCTCATGCGCACATCACAATTTCCATGGTAACGGTATACTGTTAAGCTCTATAAGCAACATAGAACATGTACATCTTAATCTCATGCCAGATTGAATTAAATAAAGATATTTCAAGGCCATATTTCTTTATATTTGGACATATGAAAACAGATGTGTGACACCTTTAGGATCGGCCTGGATGACATTTAGCATTTATCCTTTTTTTTGTCTTATCATAAGTGAGGCACAGTGATGAACACAGTTTGGAAGTCAACATCTTTAAGAGGGATTTCTTTGTGATGTAAACTGTGTTCCTGGACTGTCTTAATCTTCAGAGTGAGCACCTGCAGCTCAATGTGAGTCCCTCCTTCATGCAAACATGCTTCAATAATTGGCCTGAGAGGGAACCTTTTTTAGCCTTGGTATAGCTGAAATGTCTTGTGACTCAGGTTGCTCATCAGCCCTCCATCTGTGAGCAGGTGCTGAATTATTTCCCCTTTAGTGCACGCTGATCACCGATGTAGCAGAGAAACATCCCTCTGAACCGCAGGTTCACTGTTCTTTTATATTTAATTCACCGGCCGAGTTAAAACCACCGGCCTTTCATTATGTCTTTGCAAAAGGATGTCAGCCACTCAGGGCTGCGTTACTTCTTTGATTAAATACCTGTTGACTCATGACTTCAGGTCAATTCATCCACATCTCCGGCCCACGAGGAGACTGACATCTCAACACATCTCCATTTCAACTTCTCACTCCGGCTGCCTTTTTGTGATCCTGCCAACGATCCACTTAGAAAATTTGGAATAATTTAAGTACCCCCCACCCACCCCCTCATTTGTCAATCACCTCACCTTGAGAAAACTGAATGTGACTGCAGTGAGGAAGATGAATAAACAGTTTTCATTTAATAATGAATATTCTTGTTTTTAAACAAACAACACCTCAGCAGCAGCTCTAGATCTAAACTGCAGCCTCCAAAAAACTAGTCAGATTAATTTCCTTATAACCTGATTTCACAGTCATGCACAGAGTATAAACTGTAGTTTGCAAGATTTCCATTATCTTATCAACAAGCTGCACTTCTGCAAATTATTTTTCAGAAATGTTCATTTGACAAGATCAAAAAGCAGGAAAGACTTTGATACAAGTAAGACAGAAATGAATAATTAACGGCATCCCACAAGGTCCAAACTTAATCATTTCATTCAGATACAGAATAAAAACTTGTTGTTTGCATTTTTATGCAAAATGTGGCGTGTGTGTGTGTGTGTGTGTGTGTGTGTGTGTGTGTGTGTGTGTGTGTGTGTGTGTGTGTGCGTGCGTCAACAGCCTTCCTGTTGGAATCATCTGCTGATAGAGGCAGAAACAATCAGCGAGAGGCTTATTATGTGGAACCCCGCCAACAGACCTGCAAATAATCACACAGCTAATTGATTAAATTCAGCAGAATCACACATCCTGCACCCATGACTCACAACACACAATCATCACCCTCCATCCTGTCATGTTTACCGTTCTGCTCAGAGGGTTTCCCCCCTCGTGATGTCTCACACTGATAAAAAGCTCTGACGCTTTCATCGTTTTCTTCTTCAGAGTAAATCATTCAAAGTTCTGTGTCGCAGTCTAATATCTACTTTTATATTCATTGATGCTAATTTGGATAATTAAGATCATTGATAGCCTAGCGGTTGCGTTGCACGGCCCATGTACAGAGGCTGTAGTCCTCGCCGCGGTGGCCATGGGTTTGAATCTGACCTCTCTCCTCCCATCATTTCCTGTCTCTCTTCAGCTTTTTGTGGGAATAATTAAAGGTACAATATGTAAAACTTTTACACTAAAATATCTAAATTAATAAAAAAATGGACTCAACCTAGGTTACATATTATTTTGTTGAGTACTTACATTACCTCAAATATTTCCAACAGTTTTGTGGTGTTGGAGCCGCCATGACAGACACGAGATGTTAATCGTTGCCGTGGAAACACCGGATGTTACGTCAAAGACAGCTGCATAATAAGGACGTGGGAAAGCTGCAACTGAAAGCTGCCGTACTGTTGCTGTATGTAAATGATACTCGGATACATGAGCTCGTCGGTAAACATATTCTCTTCCTCAGTTCGGTTCTCTTGACTACGGTCTGCTCCGAGTTAGTGGCTGGGTCGGGGTGCAGTAGCAGGAGAATCACTCCCATGATTCCTCACTGGTGGTGAAAGTTACATACTGTGAGTGGTAACACTTTACTGAGTTGTTGTCAGAGAAGCCAGCACTTCAACATGTTTCCTTAATGTCTGATCATATAGTAAGGTCACTTTATCATTTCATTCAGAAGATATCTTACTGATTACTCCTTTAAATATTGGAATAAGAAAGAAATAAGCAGACTTAACTTTGTAAAAACAAGCATTTGAAAACAAGTTAGCTGCCATTAGACGGACGCTATAAGTTTAGAAGCCATTTGATGTGGAGCGTTGTGCATTAATGTGTATGTATACTGTTTGAGTATAATGTAGTATGCTGGTTTCATCATTTCAGCGTGCCAGAGGAAAATGGCCACCACAGGAATATGGTGAATGGAAACTCCTGCGACAAATAATCTAAAGAAAGTTTAGAGCTAAAAAGTTGTGGAGAAAAAAAGTTGTGTGTACTTATAAAGAAGTTCTAACAAACCCATTTAAATACGCTTAGAGACTGCACTGAGACAGAATCTTTTGAAGAAGGGAGAGCCAGCATCCATTAACAGAAGATGTACAGTAGCACTTTATCAGCCGGGTGTGGGACGGAGAAGCTGGTGGGAGCAGCAGATGGCAGGGGGGAGAAGCCAAACTCAATGGTGCAGAAACAAAAAAAAAAGCCTGTTTCTTTAGCCTCTTTCAGCCTTTGAAGAACTAAGTGATGAATTATTTAACTAAAGCCTATCAATAATGAGAGGAGTGGCCAAGTAACGACTGGATTACTGCTGCCAGGTTTAGGACAAAGCATCGAGATTTACCGCAGCTATCAATACAAACAAGGAAAACGTTCCAAGGCAACTCCAATCTAAAGCCCAGTAATTGATGTTAAAAGATGTTTTGACCCTTCGTTAGTCATCGCTGAAGGTTTTGTGCTGCATGACCCGGCCTTATATCCACAATGTATTTGTAAGGACTAACCTACAGTAGCAGACCTTGTCTACTTGATACTCAGTTTCATTTCAGCACCATGTCCTGCTCAGTCAGAGGCAAATAGGCAAAGTTTGCAATGACAGTAGGTGACCTCCTTAAGAGGGGCCCCATCTGACAGCACACACTTTTCACCTGTGAAAACCAAACATTTGTCAATAAAAGTCAAAGAAAGAAAATGAAGAGGAATAAACCATCTGGGTCTCTCTCTCTCTCTCTGATTTCCTACTTTGGTAGTCAAAGTTTACATTTTCACTTTTAATTTAAAGGTCCCATATTCTTCTTTTTCTTGTTTTATATGCTCTTTAGTGTGTTTTCCAAGTGTCCTGTGCATGTTTAGGCACATCTATGTGCAAAAATTCAAGCTGCATGTAACGCTCGGTTCTAGCCCCCCTCGATAAAAATGTGTCAGTGCGGCGTCATTGTCAGTGTGAGATCACTGATCTAAGCCCATTGGCTCGTTGTGGCCCAGCAGCTCATGTTGCACGCCCGCTAACTTCTGTAGCACGCCCACGATATGCCGTAGCCTGCGGTAGCACAGTAGTGCTAAGGTGCTAAGGTTTTTGCTCTGTTTGGAGCCAAAGTGGCTGCATTCCCAATATGGTAAAAGGGGCGGGACATTTCCGAGAACCGTGCTGAGCGACTGACCAATCACGACAGAGCCGACAGGCCGACCAATCAGATCAGACTTGGCACACGTGGGGACTCTGAACGTGGGCACTTCAGAGCCTAGAGAGAGTCAGAAGAGAGCCGGTGCATGGAGCGGCAGTTCATGAAAACAGACACTTTTTTATAACTTTATCTATTGTGAACATACTTTAGTAGGTACATAGATTAAATATATGAACCCCAAAAAGGGCAGAATATGGGCTCTTTAAGTCACAATTTGTTGACTGCTATGGAAGTTTGTTAACAGAGGCTCCGCCCAGAACTTCATCAACCATCTTTGGATTAACATCACACACACAGTAGGTGTTTTTACATTTTTGTCAGCGCTTGGAAATATTAACTTTTTTCATACACAAGATTGTAAGGTGGGCTGCACTGTGTTGCCGTGGTTACGATACAATCAATTCACTTTATTGTCCACTTGGAGAATTTTGTGTTGGACTCACAGTGCTGCCAAACATTCAGCCACTTCTACTCGAATCAATAATGGTAATGGATGGAGGTTGTAAGCTTCTGTTTTGTGTGTTTTAATGACAAGACTTTTGGATGTTATCTCATAACAGAATAATTCTACCTGATTCAGTGATCTTAAGATAATGAATGACTCATAACAATTAAAAGTTGTCACAAAGCTGTGAGGGCGAAATTAATAACGTACTGTAGATAACATTTCCATTTAGAACAAATGACTCACTTCACTTTACCATCAAAGTATTTTTAATCTTGTACGGGCTCCATCATATTTTCAACACGTTGGTTTACAGCTCGTTCCACGAGAGCAAACAACTTTGGCAACAAGTGACCAATATTGTTGCAAAAATCAAATCAGTTGCATTAAAAATACACTCAACAATCTGGTGCCTCGTTGGGATTCAATCTTCCTCGGGATGAAATCTGTTGGTGGGATATTCTGACAGATGAAGTGTACAGGTGGTGGATTTCTCCTGTAACTCTCCTGATTAAAGGGGCGGAGCTACCCAAATCCAGACCTACAGCAGGCAGACACCTTTCCATCCATGTGTTATGCGACAATTATTAAACCATTGTTTTATCACAGTAGTCAGGCCCTGGGCTTTCTCTCTCTCTCTGTCTGTGGCTAATTACACATTCTCCAGCGAACAATCACAACTCTCTCCAATTAGAACATTTTCAAGAACACAAGTTGTGTCAAAACAAAGCAGCAGCGTTGTCTGCACATTCGAAGCAGCCAGTAATTTATTTCAGTCCGATATGAGTGCGAGATGGAAAACGTTATTAACACTGTGTGTCTTGTTGCTCTGGACAATAAAAGTCCCAACACTTCGTCTGGCTGAAGCAGACAGTCGGACAAAGTGGCGTCGATGACAATAAAGAGAGAGAGGCATATGCACGACAGACATGTTGACTGTTTCTATCGGTCTGCAGAGATTTCTCAGACTCATTAGTTTATGTGGAGTGTTTAGTTCAGAGTTCAGAGAAGCAGTGTGGGATGTTTCTGCAGAGAATAATGAAATAATGTGCAAAAAAACCCAAAACATAACTTTTTAACATTTCTCCATTAAGACAAAAAAAAACCATTTTAATACTAAAACTCATATCCTTTATCTAGCTTTTTTGTGATTAAAAAGCCCACCCTGAAGATTATTTTTAAACAACCTCACAGCTTATTTTTAATCATTGTTGTGTTGCTCACATATGGGGCTTTCACACTTGCAGAAATCTCCTGAAAAACTCTGGATATTTCCAGGAGGAGCTGTATGTGTGAACGCAAACAGCTGAATTTTTCACTCAGACTTCACCCAGAGTTTCTCCTGACAGACCCCTAGTATTATTTTTTGCCGCAAGTCAGAGTGAGCTGATGTGAGAACGCAGCAGGATATTCTCTGGAGAATTCACCTCAAGACAATGGGAGGGGGAGTGATGTTAACAGTGTTTGTGAACATATATCTGTGTAACCTGAGAGTCTACTGACCCACAACATGTGAAATAAACCCATCCAGTCCTTTGTTTGTGGTCTGCATAATCTTACAACACAGAGAAAAATGCTCTGTTTCAAATGTGCTCTCCTTGTGATGTCACAGTGGGATTCTGGTAAAAAAAAAAAAAATCCCCTTCCCTCCCCTGGTATCTCCACCCATGGACTTCACCCCCAGGCTAGAGCCAAATGTTTGGGCAGGTCCGCCATTTTTTATCGAAGCGAAGGAGTGATGTCTACGGGGAAAATTCAGGGGGCGGGGTCATTGCATTTAAAGAGACACACACACCAAAACAGAGCGTTCTGAGAAAGCTGGTTTATACAGGGTAACAAACCTCCTCTGGTGCTTGATTCATGTTATATTTTGACCAAAGCACAGCACAGATGTTTCATTTAGACCACGGGGGACTGTTTGAAAAGGTGAGATATTAGATATCTTACATATTGCTCCTTTAATAATTAGACATCAACAAAAACGAGTTTATCCATCTTTTTAAATATCTGTCCATCTTAACTTCACAAAACAGCAGCCTGGAGTCAAATGCCTGGAGTCTGTACTTAACCATAAAAAAGTCGATATCGAAGGAACAAATGAAACGAGTTTGAAAAGGTATCTGAGTAAAAGGGAGATGTGAGTCAGGTAGACGGATAATCACACAGCTCTGGCCTTCAATAAGCCGCTTTTGTGGAATGTACCCATTCAATGGATCCATATTAGATTTGAGGACTTTAATGAAAGGATTAAATCAACCTCAAGGCCTCCTGAGAGGCGCAAGCAAATTAAAAGATTCATTGTCTCATATAAAACATCCAGTGAGTCATACTGTGCATTGACATTCAAGATGGATTTTTTTATGTATGTGATTCATTTATCCGCGTTTTGCGATCGTAAAGATGGAGGAGTAATGATTTCAGTTTGACGTAATGGTGTGCTTACATCATGACGAGAGTGAAGTAAAAGCACACTGCTGGGTACATTAGCGCGGTCAGTGTTTGCTTAAAAACCAAGCCTTGCAGAGACGTGTAACCTCCCTGCAATGCTTCAAGATTCACAAATTAGATTATTAGCCTTTGGCCTCATGTGGGTGTCTTTGTGGCCCCGAGTAACCACAAAAACACATCAGTACAAGAAGTTATTTTCCTGAAAACTCAGGCACCCAAATTGATTTTAATCTGCAAAGAGCCATCCATTGTCATTTCAATGATGGACCTCTAACCTGCAGACCAGCAGACAAACATTAACAAACATGAACTTCAGTTCCCGTCACAAATGAAAAGATTGTCTCTGATCATTTAACTCATTTTAAAGCTTCATATTTCACAGTTTCTCACTCCTGTCCTCGTGGTTATAATCTGATAACTTGCCTTTTGTTCTTGTTTTTATGAAATCATGATTAGCAGAAATAGTGCGACACGTTGGGAACTACTCATGTTGTCAGTCCGCTCAAGGCCATCATCAATGTTTCAAAGACAAATTTACAAACATGATCAGGTAAAAGATTAACCAAAATAGGTAAATTAATACAATAAAAATGAAAGAAATTTACAGAAAAACAGAAATTTCTCAAAACGTCAACTACAATGTAATCTACTAGAATTTGCTGAATTGTCGGGTCACATCCACATGTGTCTTTGAATCGTTGGTTTCCTTCAGCTGCTGTTTATCTTTATTATTCAAAGTTTAAAACTTTAAAGTGCTGACATTATCTTGCTAAAGTGTTCTTTATGAGGAAGCACTGATTGCCTTTGAGGGTTTTTGAGTTGAGCAAGCCAATGCTGTGTTGATAAGAATAATGTGCGGTGTCAAAGCGCTTTGAGTAGTCAGAAGATGAGAAAAGAAATGTACAAACTCAACTCCATTTATCATTTACGCTAAACTACACTTAAGATGTAATGGAGAAATGTATCCACTGTGGGAAGAACAAAACAATAGTCCTCACTGGAAGCTAAAGATTCTGTAAATATATACAATTAAAGAACTTGTGCCTCACCTTGCTGGCTCCTGGCAGTAGATGCAACTTGACGTAGGGGTCGGAAAGCCCATTGTGGTCCATCGGCTTGAGCCCCTGTGAAATAAAGGTAGAAAAAAACACGTTATGAGTTACAGAGAGTCTAAATCTCCTTATTAGCTGCACCCTAGAGGCAGAAATGTTCATTAAAGATCTTATGATTAGGGGGCAACTGAAACCTAGAAATTCATCGTCTTGGACCACAACTATCCAAATGAGTAAAGAAGACAAGTTTATCCTAAAATGTCCAATGTTCACATTAGATTATACTAACGATGATCTCCTAATGTGGGGGGACTTTGGCCTACAGCTTGGTACAAAGGAGGGATGGGAAAGTGTCATGTCCACAGTGTGGCTAGACCACTTATTTACTGCACTATGTAACTCATGTAAAAACAGCAGCTTGTAATGTAAGAAATAGAGCCGATACAATCCAGACCATACAGGGTACAGAAGCTCATTTAAGTTTTTTTCCTCAGTCTCATCCTTCTCACTGTAGTGATGGACTTTTTAGACTTCTCGGACTTAAAATTAATATTTGTTTTACAAAACTTTTTCTCTGAGTTGTATTACAGCCCAGCATCACCTCAGCACTTCTTTCAATAAGGGTGAAAAAAAACCCTTTACATTTCTCTGGGAAGCAAATCCATGAGGCTGAGAGAGGGAACAGAAGGTTAAGACCACTCGTAGATGAACCAAATAAAAACAGCTTATGTGGGTGTTGACAAAGTAAAGATATCTTAAGTGTTTCAAGAATGAAATGCAGAGGACCAATAAAGCGCTGAGAGCACTTACTGAGTGTTTTTTTTTCTTCTCTGACCTCACGTAGGGTTGTCTTTCATGTTTACTTTCTTTTATTAGTTCTTCAAGAGGTAAACCCATTCAGCCTTTTTCGTTCTTTGAAGTAGGAGTGACAGCCTCTTAAAACGCTGCTCTGCAACAACGATATCAAATCGTCTTCAATCCAAAAAGGACCAAAACGAGAAAAAGCACAACTCAAAAAAACATGGTTGTCATCATTTAAGCCTTACTTTGTATTTTATGGGTGCAAACAAGGCAGCCTCAAGTGGACACTCAGGGAACTGCAGGTTTTTCTAACTCCTGGAGGTTGCAGGTTTGGACTGATGGAAAGAAGACAGCTGCACGTTTCATCACAAGCATTTAGTGTCTTTGTGGATAAAAGCACCATCAGTTATCAGATGATGATCGTTTAAATTCTGTCCCTGTCATCAATGAATGACTTTGTTTGATATAGATTTAGAGTTATGGTTATGTTACATTTAAACAGTGGCCATCGAAGGGTTACAAACCAACAGGAGGGTTGTTTCGATCCCATCAGTGATGAAAAAATAAAATCAAAATTGTCATTTTTTAATCCAGTTAAAGTCGGCGGCCACTTCTTTCAAACCTCTACAACTTCAGTTTGTAACAAAGCTTTTCTTTTTCTCTCTCTTTCTTTATTTAGTCGCAGAAACAGAACATATCACATAACATACTGCCTCACACACCACATACTGTACAACACAATACATATGGCAAAGCAGACATTAAACAGAACATATAGTGGAGACGTGGGGGGTGTGAGTGTGAGTGATAACCAGTGGGTGTAGAGTGAACATATGCAGAGGAAATAGAAAGAAGATATGCATGTAAAGAAAGTTGTCATAGGGGCCACAAGGGAAGGAGGGGAACCAAATGATGGCTGCTAAATGTCAGAGGAATCTAAATCAAATCTTTGGTGGCTCTAAAAGTTTAACGCTGGATGGAATGAAATGTTGTTATAAAGCTGTAGCTGCACGTCCTTTATATCTTTGCCAGTGTTACTGCCAATTTCCACAAAGTCTGTGCACGCTGCGCCCTGTCACATCACAGGAGAACTACAAGATCACACAGGAATAAAGAGAAACACATGTGAACAGCAATTTGCTTTGTCTATTCATGTTTGATATGTTGGTGCCTGTTTAGACGTTCTGTTAAAAACGTGATGAAAAATACGATCGATGTTGTGTTTTATTTTGAAATGACCGGATGCTCTGTGTGTTTCCTTGTCTGACTTCCTGTCCCGGTCAATCTATTCATTAAAAATTTGAGATTTTATGTTTGTTTGTTTTTCTTAACTTTATTGTTTGTTTGAATGAAATAAAATCTACAGATAAATAACTAAATGATGTTCTGCTTGACGTGTGCTTGCAGCATGCTTCATCAAAGAAATGGACTTGAAGTGTATTTGGAGGGAGCAGGGCGTAATGGTGATGCTGGCAAGCGCCGGAGACTGACTGCGGTGCTTGCTGTGGAAACTGGAGCAAGAGTGGTAGCGTAATGCAGGGTGTTGAAGAACCACGGCGCACATGTGGAGATTATGTGGAGATTGGCAGTTAGGGTGGTTACTCTAAAAAAGTTTGCACGTTTAAAAATCTGATTTTATTACGTTTACTTAAAGTTAAGTCTCTGAATACTTGCACTATAGGGTTATCTTGCCAATAAAACATACTGCAGTCTGTTGAATATTTGAGAGTAATCAACCATGAAACTGTTGCATATATAAAATATGGTCTAATTTCAGCTTGGCACACTGAAACGGCCCCCTTTGTGGATGTAGTTCCTCAAACAATAAAAAAAAGCAGAACGTGCAAATCATCCTCGCTGCAGGATTTTTGTAATCCTACAGAAAAGTGAAGGATGAGACCCTGACGGTTTTGGAAGTAGATTTTTATGGCTGCTCTGTGTTGCCACTCTGGTCTATTGAGGACACTGTCAGTGAGAAAATTGTGTATGTGTGCTTCTTCTACAATTGATTTCACTCTGTGATTGCTGAAAACTGGTGAATATGTGACATACAACAGACACAGGGTTATGAGACGCAGTGCGTGACAAATTGTTGCTGAGCAGACTGAAAATGTGGACTTTCTTTTCCTGTTGTCTGGCTTCATGCGCATTAAGGAGGAACTTTGTTAGTGTGGCTTAGAGCCGACAGTGTTTCTGTTTGAAAGATTCATCTTTTGGATATATGATAAGTCATCGTCTGTGCCCGATGGAGAGGGCGATGTTTCATAACGCTGAAATATTTATGTTTACTGCTGATCTCAATCATCTAGTGCGTCTCAATCATACCACTGACTGTATGAGAAGATTTATTAATTTGACATCTTCCCTGAGGTGAAGCCAAACATTTGGAGATCCCCATACTGACCGGCTGCAGTGTTGGTTATAAGCTCTGCCTCCTCCATGTTAACAGATGGGAAATAAATCAAACTTCATGATAATTTAATGTTTCTAAAACGTGGTTTCTGTCATTCAAGTTTTTTGTTATCGTGCTGATTTATGACCAAGTGATCTTTTTACATAAGATGTTGTTTTTAATATCTATAGAAAGAGGTGAAATGATGATTGACAGCTCTGTTGACAAATATGGCTCCTGCAATGTTCTCTGCTTTTGTCGATACCTGTAGCTGAAAAATTTCCCTTAAATAGTGTACCTTTATCTTCATCTGTTTTCTAAAATATTGTTGTTTACTTAAAGCTATCTGTTAGTGTATTGATCTACATGACACAAAGAGAAACAGTCAAAAAAGACATCATGGATTATAAGCAATTCATAATTCAGAAGGAAAAAGCCGAGAACACCCTGCTGCTTTATAATCTTGCAAACAAATGATTCTTTTCATATCTGTCAATTCCTGCAAACAGCCGTCATGCTAAGACAAGAAAATCTTGATTATGAGCTTGGTGCCATTATTTTAATTGTTCCCCGTCTTTATGGTTTTCTCTCTCTGATGGACCAAAAACGGGGAAAACAAAACAAATATGACGTCTCTTCATCCACAATTATCAGGCTTAATAGAGGATCCGGGCTCCGAGCCGAGCACTCAGTAGGAATTACTGGCAGCAGAATGACACACTCACAAACACCAGCACGGCTCCACATCCCGAGAGCACACAGTATAAAAACCCACAGAGACACTCTCTTCTTGTTTGGCCCGCGCTCATAAACATGTCTGCATTTTGATACCACAGAGACAGCACGGTCTGATATTTAAAGAGACGACTCTGACAGACATCATAAACGCGGACAGTGAAATCAGAGGAAGAGGGAAAACAACAAATATTTCTGAGTCTGTTGGACTTCATTCAGGTATATCACAGAAAGTAAGAAACCATTTCAGGAGGATTATACTTATAGTTAGGATTTTGTCACGCTGTGGCTTATTTTCAGTGAAACTAAAATATGAGAGATCACTGATAAATACACTGTAAAGAGAAAGTCCCTCATATTGTGTTTTTTTAACAACGGCATGTTGATTCTTAAAGTCCAGATGATATCAGGAGTGTCAGATTTTCTGCTCTAACCCACCCCTGACTTCTTAGCAGAAGGGTCAGCAGCTTGGAGATGATATAAGCAAGAAATATTGATGTTACTGAGGCAGGATGATGTCTGTATTAATGTTAATATAAGCTTTAAGGTTAGCATCCTAATACCTTGAGCTAACAGCAGCAACATTAAAGGGGACATATTATTAAACTTGTACAGTGTTTTTGAACATTTATTTGGGTAACCTGAGAGTCTACTGACCCACAACATGTGAAATAAACCCATCCAGTCCTTTGTTTGTGGTCTGCATAAGTCTGCACAACACAGAGAAAAATGCTCCGTTTCAAATGTGCTCTCCTTGTGATGTCACAGTGGGATTCTAGTAAAAAAAAAAAATCCCCTCCCCTCCCCTGGTATCTCCACCCATGGATTCCATCCCCAGACTAGAACAAAACTTTTGCACAGGTCCACCATTTTTATTCTCTCTACAGAGGAGTGATGTCTATGGGGAAAACTCGGGGGGGGGGGGGGGGGGGGTCATTGCATTTAAAGAGACACACACACCAAAACGGAGCGTTCTGAGAGAGCTGGTTTATACAGGGTCACAAACCTCCTCTGGTGCTTGATTCATGTTATATTTTGACCAAAGCACAGCACAGATGTTTCATTTAGACCACAGGGGACTGTTTGAAAAGGTGGGAAAGGCCCGGGGCAAATAAGGCAACTAACTACTCTGCGCTCCTCCTTG